TTTCATAATGTGTGTGGATTCTAAGTGATCCATAAAAATATCAGCTAAGAAAGGGGAAAGGCAACTACCCATGGCTAAGCCATCAGGTTGTCTGTAAAATTTACTATTGAAAACAAAAAAGTCTTGAGCTAGACAAGTTTGTAATAATTGAATAATTGAGTTAGTGGTAGACAAAGTGATAGAATTTGCTCGAAGAAGAGACTGGACCAGATTAATAGTTTCTTGTTTGGGGACTGAAGTAAATAGATTGCTGACATCCAATGAAAGCATTGTGATGTTAGGATGAAGATTTATTTGTTGAAGATTGTTGACTAGATGAATAGTGTTTTTGACTGCAAATCGAGGGGTAAAGTTCGTCATGTTGTTAATGAGATTCAATATGAATTTTGACAAAATAGAAACTGGAGTGTTTATGAAACTAACAACGGGACGAATGGGAATGCCCTCTTTATGTATCTTAGGTAAACCGTACAATCTGGGTGTTAGTGGGTTACTAGGTATTTTATAATATGGAGCGTCATGTTCTGAGAGAAATTCTGTGAAAAGTGAACTTTTCACAGAATTTCACAACATGACGAACTTTACCCCTCGATTTGCAGTCAAAAACACTATTCATCTAGTCAACAATCTTCAACAAATAAATCTTCATCCTAACATCACAATGCTTTCATTTGATGTCAGCAATCTATTTACTTCAGTCCCCAAACAAGAAACTATTAATCTGGTCCAGTCTCTTCTTCGAGCAAATTCTATCACTTTGTCTACCACTAACTCAATTATTCAATTATTACAAACTTGTCTAGCTCAAGACTTTTTTGTTTTCAATAGTAAATTTTACAGACAACCTGATGGCTTAGCCATGGGTAGTTGCCTTTCCCCTTTCTTAGCTGATATTTTTATGGATCACTTAGAATCCACACACATTATGAAAAATCCTGAAATTCTCTATTGGTTTCGATATGTTGATGACTGCTTAGTCTTCATATCAGGTAACTCAAATTCAGCTGTTCTATTACTCTCTAAATTAAACCAAATCCACCCAAACATTAAGTTCACTATGGAACTAGAATCATCTCAATCTATTAATTTTCTTGACCTTACCATCACCAGATTAAACGACCACTTCGATTTCAGTATCTATAGGAAACCAACACAAACTGACCATATCATACCTTTGTTTTCCAACCACCCAATGTCACACAAATATGCAGCATTCCATAGTTACATTCACCGATTATTAACAATTCCACTATCACAATCCAACTATCATACAGAAGTTAACACCCTTAAACAAATAGCATTCAATAATGGATATGACCCCAACATCATTAACAAACTTATAAATAAGAGACAACTCAAACTATTGAGAGAGACTGCGTTTCCCAGAGACTTGACCATCAAAACTCAGTATTTTTCTTTGCCTTACCTTCAAGAACGTCTTTCTGGAGATCTTAGATACATCCTAAAAAGATCTGTTGAGAATACCCACATTTCTTTCAAAGTCCCGAACAATCTAGGACAATGCTTAACTAATACAAAAGATCCCATCAACTACATGGATCGTAGTGGCGTTTATAAATTACAGTGCTCTGATTGTGATGCTACATATATAGGTAGAACCTGTAGATCACTAACTTCTCGTTCCTTAGAACACACTAAAAAAGAGAACACTTCCACCTTCTCTCAACATCTTGCACAACATAAACATACCCTCAACATCCCAGAAGACGTCTCTTTGTTACATAATATTCCCCAAAAAAATTTTCTAAAATTAGACCTATATGAAGACTTGGAAATAGTCAAAGAAAAACAAAAAAGCCCCAATTGTGTTAATCGCCATGTATCTTTCAACCGTGACTTTCAACCTTTACATCGTCAACTTTTTTCATAGTCCACACTTCACAATACTGTCCTATTTTCTCTGCCTTATTTTCCTATACAAACGTCAACACCTTATTCCTATATAATCTTGTGGTTCTACAAACACCCCTTTTTATACAATATCGTCACACCTTCCTCTCACAAATTTCTGACCCCAATTTTAACTTCAGAACCATCCACATCCACCATACCAACATTTCACTATCTTATCTCTTCACTCACTTCACTCTTCACTTCTACATCGTTTTCCTGTTAATTTTGTTCTCTTTCATTATTTCTTGGTCAATTCATATATTAAACATGTATCCAATAGTTTTAATTTAGTAATCACTTAAACATTATCGAACAATTTATTAAAATTCATAATCTACCATATTACATAGAATCCTAATCTACCTTTGTCCACCTTCTTTCGGTCAACAACTTAGTAGCACACTTATACAACAAATTTCAGGTTTCTACAAACTGAATTTAATACCACCTAAATAGATTTTGTTCAGGGTGCTAGATACTTCAAGTATAAAGGACCCCTATTATCTCTAATTGTTGATCAACTCCTTTTCTCCTTCAACCCCCCCCCCCTCCTTTCATTTCTTTTACTTTCATTCTCATCAGTCTCTGAGGAACCCAGTCTCTTCGATTTTAAATTCAATCACATATGTTACTACTTCAATTTCTTCAGCCTGTAGATTTCCATCTTACTAAACTTAATTTTATTAATTCTTCACCATAGGAGCATTCCTAAATAAAGTCATTTAAACATGAGGTCTGATATTAGCTTCAAATATTTGTTATTTAATTTTTACCTTGTCCTAGATGTGTTAAACATAAAAGGATAAATTTCACAAATACAAGCTAACCCAAAAATTAAATACACTTTAGACCACATTCCATACGACGAAAAGCAACATAAGTTGCCTAAGGCACAGGTCATTATATTAATCATGACTATAAAACCATCATTGATTTGACATCTTTTATACCCTAAATTAATAAATAAAAAGTTTTTAAATCCCAACACCTAGATTGTTGTTATTTTTAAAATCATCAAAACTTGTTGATACTTTTGGCTGTAGTAATACTATGCACAACTTTTATAGTTTTTGTTGCATTGACATTCTGTTATCTTCATCCTTCAAAAGTATCTTGTCAATCAGTTCCACGTTGTTCTCCGAGTGCAGAGGTTGTCTCTCGCCCGGCTCTGGAACCCATTTGAGCCATGTGTTACCTTTGGTCAAATTTAATTTAATATAGAACATCACAGTTATTTTATAACACAATGTACAACATTTCATAACTAAATGTAATTTAAAGGGTTTTTACCCTAATATTTTGGTGGCTCAGGCATTATGACCTAGTAAGTATAACCATCTTTTGCTTTTCAACCTTAGTCAAAATTTCAAAATCTCGTTTGTTTTAACTAAATGGTTTATACTTATTTTTAGGCATTTTCGATTTTAATAACCTGATGATGGACTGTGTAGTCCGAAAACGTTTGTTCTATTGATGTGGCCCTTTTAAGGGTTTTTTAAATAAATATACCCATTTACAAAGATTAACCTCTTTTTGTTATACGTGGTATACAGCCAGCTACAGGAATTTTTCCTTGTGGATTTTATTCAGTAAAATATTTAGACCTCCACTACATGGTTCACCGTTTATGCTTATACGGGCAATTTGAACATTATATAGTGTTTAATCTGGATTTGCTTTTGAAAAAGAAGTTAATTGACAGGTCTGCTCTGTCTTATTAAACGTACTAAATTATTTTAGTACTAAATTATTTTAGTACATTCAGTATTCTTCTTTAGCATAAAGATTTTTCCGGATTTACACCACCTCCATGTTAATTATCAAATAATCCTCGTATATGCCGCAGCGATTATACACCTACCTCACATCGATTACGAGATAATAATTAATGCTTAGCCCCACAGTAATCCTCAAAAAATACTCCAGGACGGACGACATTAAAAAGAAATCATAAGTTCACGTACAAAATGGTCTTGTATCGAACAATTTACAAAAATACACTTCCCATCAATTTTTTATATTTCCCATTCCACGCGGGAAACAATTGGACAGCCACACTACAGTCTAATTATAGATATAGTGTACAACTACGTAAGCCTTATTCACTAACAACGTTTCAAAAAGTCAAGGTATATTTAGGTCATTAGCCTGCGACGATAAGTTTAGACGCTCAGGTGTAGGCCCGAAAAAAAAATCATTTACATACTTAAGTTGATTTGCTTGATTACCTACTAATAACTGGTGTACTTGATTAATAATTTGGCTGGGCTTATGTGGTATTTAAAAATGGAGTTTATTGATCTCTTGAATGAAAAAACTGAAGTGTACAGTGTACCCTACAAACATTTTTTCTGTTTCGTGGTATTTTTTTTAAAACTGGCCACGTTGTTAAACGAATTATCAATCAAATAGAGTGGTAATTTTATATTATCTTCAAAAGAAGTTTTATATAAAACTTTAATTTGTTATACTATCTGACCGATTTTTCCTTTGAGTAACTTTAACCTCGCTGTGTATTTTTCATGGGCAGGAATAATATATTTCATGAGCTACTGTCACATGAAAGTTGCTCCTAGACATGCATCCTGATGCTAGTCCCTCTTCTTTTTGTTTTGCTCGGTTTTTAAAATTTTGATGTTTTCGAAGTCAAATTTAGGCTTCTTCTCATTTTCAGGTTTTGTGAGCGCAGTGACGTTTTTGTCATATTTGTGAGAACGAATTCTGGATTGAAGCAGTTGGCTGGTTTGCCCAATATAGACACCTTCACAGTTAATACATGGTATCTCATAAACAACATGTGATTCTTTTAGTTTTGGAGTTATAGCGTTTTTAGTTTGGTGAAATATTTATTTAAAAGGTTGTTGCCTTTGTGAGCCACTGTTATAATATTAAAAGATTCGTTAGTTGTTCGGATAAACCTTTTATATATGGAAGAGTTGTACACGTAGTCCTAATGCTGTTGGGTTTATTGTTATTTGCATTGTAAAATTTATTTAGTCTTGATTTGAAAATAGTGTATACTGTCTTTTTGTTATTGTCCTCTAACATATTGTAACACTTTTAACAGCATTAAATTTTATTTCCAGGCACCACCAAAGAGACTCCCGAAAATGGAGACATCCAGGAAATCGAGGAGGAGGAGGAGGAAGAAATCATCCACTTGGAGTACTTCGACGAGGCCCTCCAAGTCCACCTGCTGAAGTCTCTGAACATGATGAGAAAAAGTCGCCACTTCTGTGATGTTATTCTTCACGTATGTGCCTGACTGTGTCAAACAGCATATTTTTCAAGTTTCAAATAATCACGGGGCGGCTTTTGAATTGGCCGAAGGCGTGTTATAAGTAACCATTTTAGTCATTATATGATATCGGAAAAATAAGGTAGGGAATATATTATGGTTAATTTTCACCTTTGAAAACTGTATTTAGTAGAGTTGGGGAAAACAGTTTATAAACTGAATAAGAACATTATATTCTCAAAGATTCTTTATTTAAAATGTTTTAACAAAATTGAGCACTAACATTTTGCAATTATGTACAGATAGTTTTTGTTATAGGGTTTTGTTTAATTTTTTATTATACACCAAATATTTTAACTCACCAGAAAGCTTTTTTTAGTTTTATATTTATGGGCTTTAAACTAAACTTTTGGCCTCTTTGAATTCTTCCGGGACAAAATTCCGCAATTTACGTTTGATGGAGTGGTCAATCGCGCGACCACACACTACGTGAAGTAGTAAACGCAGTCCCGTGTTTCCATCCATCGCTCCGTGCTTGGAGAGCGCGGAAAAGAAAGATCCAAAAGAAAGCTATGCTTCACTTTGCCTATGCCACATCTCGTTTTTTTTTTTTTTCATTTCTGTTCCCTCTGCTTTGTTACATAGTTCGCATAGTATTTGCAAACAGCCTAGATAGCTCAGATGAGTGTATCTGCCTTTTGTGCCGAATGATGTGGGTTCTGTTCCCAATGCAAAATCCAACAATATTTATACCTGCCGCTGACAAACTAAGAAGAAGTCGTAGTCTGTCTAGTACAGCCCCTACGCTCAAAATTGGATATAGCACGATAAGAACAAGGAGAAGTATTTGAGGCTGATGGTCGTGTAGTTTCCTCTCTTTAAATTACCACGGGCTGTTCTCTTTTTAATTTAATATGAAGTACATGTTAGTTTTGTGTTCAAATGTTGTGTTCCTGTAAACGATTTTTGGAGAGTTTGCCTGTTTGTCCGATATAAATATTTTTATATTCTTGGCAAGTTAATTTATAAATCCTAAAAGTGACATCTGTAGTGCTGAATATTGTGAGAAAACGAGATGAAAAATTGCATTGTATGTGCTTTATTTATTTTGTATTATCATCATCATCATCATCACTGGCTCGACAACCCTTTTTGGGTCTTGGCCTGTTCAAGGATTCTTCTCCATTCTGACCTGTTTCGTGCTTTTTTTTTTCCAGTTTTTAATTTTTAATGTTGTTATATCATTTTCTATTTGTTCTACGTATCTCAGCTTCGGTCTTCCTCTTGTTGTTTTTCCTACTGGCACTTGTTTGAATATTTTGTTTGGTATTTCGCCTTCTTCCATTCTTTCCACATGTCCAATCCAACGTAGCCTTCCTATTTTAATGAATGTTATGATATCCGGATCCTGGTATATGTTGTATAGTTCAAAGTTATACCTTCTCCGCCAAATCCCGTTTTCTTTTGTGCCCTTATATATGTGTCGCAAGATTTTTCTTTCAAAGGTGGCTAACAGCTTAGTTGCCTAATTAAGCCATGGTAACATTTATTGGCAATAAATATTCTCCTCTTCACTTCCTCTGCAACGTTGTTATCAGACGTAACTAGGGATCCTAAGTATGTAAAGTTTTTTACCGCCTCAATGTTGTATTCTCCTATTGTTAAATTTGGCAGCTGCCTTATTTGTGCGTTTTTATTTGCAGGCATATATTTTGTTTTTGTCTGATTGATTTTAAGACCACTATTTTTTGCAGCTCGTTCTATTTGAGTGAATGCCTCTATCATTTCTCTTCTTGATCTTGCGATTATGTCAACATCATCTGCAAATGCTAGTACTTGCACGCTTTTATTAATTATTGTTCCTCGGGTATTAACTGTTGTGTCTCTTATTATTTTTTCAAGTATGATGTTGAATAATATGCATGTTAGGAATTCTTGGTTTATATTGTCATATGCGCTTTCGAAGTCTATGAAGAGATGATGTGTGTCGATGTTATATTCACTTGTTTTTTCAAGGATCTGTCGCAGAACAAATATCTGGTCTATTGTTGACTTCTGTCTACAGAAGCCACATTGGTATTTGCCAACTATTTTTTCAGCGTATGGTCTAAGTCTTTCATACATTACGTTGGACATTATTTTGTATGCCGCATTCAACAGCGTGATTCCACGGTAGTTTTCACATTCTAACTGGTTTCCTTTTTTATGTAGTGGTACAATAATGCCTCTATTCCACTCCTTTGGTAGCTGTTTATTCAACCATATCTTACTTATCAGCTCATGTAAAGCTTTAAGTAATGCGTCTCCTCCTTCTTTCAGTAGCTCCGATGATATTTGATCCGATCCCGGTGATTTATTGTTCTTTAATTTGTCCACTGCTGTTCTAATCTCTGCTATTGTTGGTGGACTCTTTTCTCTATAATATTTTGTATTATATTCTGTATAAACTAAATTATAACAAGGATTGTGCAAAATATTCTAAATCTCGTCTTATCAAAGTGATCATTAGAATATAAAACAGTGTTTTTCATCATTTTTCATAAAACATCAATTTTTCAATGACTTGGAATTTAGTGATCGAAATATTAATATTTTACGACAACTTTTCAAACCAACGTCCAAACAGACTATTACCAACCAGCTTCAAATACTAGTAATTCCGTAAAATAATAAAAACAAATCAAGAAATGTTTGCACCATTTAGAAATTCTGATTGTCTAAGTACATATAATAATTTACATCGGACAAGCACAGAGAATCTTTTAAAACTATTAAAAACTACCAGACATCCTTTAAACTTAAAAACGTCAGAATCCACTTCCCATTATAATAAAAAGAAACAGCCTAACAGTTAATTGAGTGCATAATGATAAGTGTGTCGAAAAACTGATAAAGGTTCGTTGCACAAAAACAAGTATTTTACATTATACAGAGTTAAATATGAAAGTGTACGAAATTTTATCGCTTTTATGAAACGTTTGCTATTCAATATATTCAAATTAGATCGTTTTGATTAAATTGTTAGTTTCCGAAATGAAAATGGTTACTGGTTCAAAAATGACAGAGCTTTGAAAAAAAAAATTGTGATTATTTGAAACCGTGAAAATTGTTATTGTAAACAGTCAGTTACACTACTGGGCAGCTCTAAAATCATCAAATTTGAAATTATTTTGACCAGTAGTGAGTAGATTTTAAGTTAGTATAAACCGTAGTAGTAATAGTATGGTATATTACGGCGTTCTTGAGGTGTACCTGTGTCAGTTAATTTTTTTTATATAAATTTTACGTAACGTATATGGTTTTTTTTGCAGTTACTGTGTTAATTCGCCACGTATTTACTCAATTTGTAGAAATACTTAAGACAAAAACAGCGCAACGTTATTACGTGTGCAAAAACGACTTACAGAGGTGTTCAATACGGTTTGAGCAACATATCGTGAACGTTGGAATTACGTTAACAACACTTGAGACAAAATACTAAAGTAAAAGGCTGAAAATGTAAATCATACCGTTAAAGCAAAAATTAGGAATGATATATCACATAAACATAACAGTATGATATGTCCAAGATAGTTCTAACTAAAAAAAAATGTACTGTATATCAAATGAAGTGGCAGAAAAAGGCCAAATTCAAAATTCATTAAGATTGTTGGTCTTATCTTTAACTTTCCTACTCTCTCGAAGTAAATGTTACATTCTTTGTCTATGGGTAAGGGTGAACCCAGTGGATAAAACTCATACCTGTTGTGAATTAAATTCCAATTTTTTTTTATTAATTCCTCGAAACTTTTGCTTTTTCATGTTATCGATGTATCAAAACTAAAAACTTTTTTTTTGTAATAAAAAATATAATAAAACTTTATATTCAATTAAAATTATATATTTATTCAATGCAACTTTTACAAAAGATATTTGAATGATCAGGACAAATAAACCTCTTGCATGCTTGACAAATTGTACGAGATTTTCTATCTTTTGTGCGAGATGTACGAGATGTCGCTAGCGAGTCCGTATTGAAGCCATGTTATTGTTGCTTCTTAAAAGGCAGAAAATATTGATTTTTCACGTTGAGAACTCCTATACATAGGATTTGTTTGCGTGAAATCAAATATTTGCTGCCTTTTTTCATTTTAAAGTCATATTCTTCTGAAACCCAAAAATTGATGATAGGGCTTCTTTACTTTTATTTGGTAGAAATTCAACGGGGATTGTTGCTTCCGAAAATAGAACCCATAAAATCTAATCACCCTTCCCAGAAAAATAAACATATTTAACATCACGTACATTTGGAAACACTTCTGGGTACAGGTGGACTCATAAACAACAGATGTGTTTCTTTCATTTCAAATAAAACCAAACTGATATTTTAAAACGCAAATACGTAATTGTATATAAACCTTATCTTAAGGATATCATGAAACATCGCGTCTCAAATTCACGATATAATAAATATATAAACATTTTAATTTTACTACTGGGTCCAGGTGTACCCAGAGACAATACAAAGGTTAAAGTGTTACCTTTTTTCATAGTAGTAAAATACTAGTGGAAACTGTCTAACCTCGAATGCAAACAAACAATGAAATCGGGTAGTCACCAGGTACGAAAAATGTGGGATATAAACACACACGTTCTTTTTATTACTCATCTAAGTAACTACGTTGTTTGTGGGACAATATTTTACGTAAGACATAATGTCGTACTCGTCGAGAACGCTGGAATAGACTATATTAATAATAATTCGAAAGAGATTTTTTAATTGCATGAAAAAACTAAGTCTCGTTGCAGTTAATGCCAACACCAAAAAGTTAGGTAAAATATTTTTCATAATATTTTTGTCGCTCTGATTGCAGAAAAGCGTTTAATTTTCTTTGTTTTAGAACGATTCGTGAAGTTTAGGTGACGGTAATTTTTTATTTTTGTTTTTTTCTTTTCATTTTTTACGCTCTCATTAAAAGAGAGGTTGTTACAAAACGGTTTTTGGACGTTAAAGAAAATATCCTTCAATTTTAACAATTGCACGCATATGTTCATGAGACAAAACGTAATAGACCTCAGTTCATTAGATATTTTTAATTTTCTTTTTGTAGGAGAATGTTGGAAGACATTTTCTTGTACTCATACTCGTAATATTGAAGGTGTTTTGGTCTAGCATGTAGATTTTAGTTAAGCCGTCTTAGTCAGCGTCTGTGTCCCTGAAGCTAATAAGATCTTTTGTGCACAACCTTCACCTATGTGAAGTATATAATTGGCAACGTTGGTCAGCTTCCTAGAGGACAGTTTTTTATTTCCAAAGATTAACCCCTTTCTTTAAGAACTTATGCGACTAGCTATTCAACCGAATAGTATATGTTCTGCTTTTTCTCTTTAATTTTCATATTAACACGCTTCTAGAGGTCGCTTTACAGTCCTTTTAGTTGCATTTTTGACGCTTAAGAAAAGGAATCTTCTTGTAAGGCTTTGTATAGGACAATATCTTAATTCTTATGTCTTATAATTAAATACTTACTTTGGTTGTGCTTTCTAAGCCACAAACCTTTTTTAAAACTTTTCTTTTCGTAAAATTTTTGAGAACTCCTTGTTTTGTTCTGTCAATTCGTAGACAATTTTCGAAAGGGGGATGAGATCAACTTGAAGTAACTCCTGAACCGGAATATTTTGGACACTTCTCTGTCGATCAACGTTGTAGATATCTAAAACTATTCTTCTTCATGTGCCTTGTCCGTTCCGAACGTTGGCAATCAACACGGCTATTCAGCAATCCGAACCATTGCCGCAAGTTTTTGAGCCACGAGTGTCTTCTCCTCCCTGGACCCCTTCTGCTGTCTATTTTCCCTTGAACGATCAGCTGTAGTACTCTATATTTATTATGTCTCATAACGTGACCCAAGTATTCCAACTTTCTTTTCTTTATACTTATTCCTACCTCTCTCTCTTTACCTATCCGGCGTAGTACCTCTTCGTTGGTCACGTGCTCAGTCCACGATATACGTAATATACGTCGGTAAGCCCATATTTCGAAAGCCTCTACTTTTTTCATCAATGCTGCGGTTATTGTCAACGTCTCCATTCCATATAACAAAACCGGGAATACATAACATTTCAGAAGTCGAATTTTGAGAGGTAGGGTGAGGCTTTTAGAGGTAAAAATTTGCTTCATGCTAGTGAACGATGCTCTTGCCTTTTCTACTCTTATACGTATTTCCTATGCTTGATCCCAATTTGAGTTAACTGTTGTTCCCAAGTAGATGTACGAATCCACGTGTTCAATTCTTTCATTGTCTAATATCAGTTTCTGTGGTGGTTGTTGGGTTTTGCTTACTAACATCCATTTGGTTTTTGTGATATTTAGTCTGAGTCCGTATTGTGCACTTGTTTTTTGTATCTTACTCATTAGGCAACTCAGTTCCTCCATGCTTTGATACAAGATATTGGAGACAAGATACAGCCCTGTCGTACCCCTTTCTTGATCTCCATTTTATTGGTCAATGTAGATCCTACTTTCACTTTAGCTGTTTGGCCCCAATAGAGACTCGCTATTTGTTCATATCTCTGCAGCGCTGGATGAGTACCTGTAGACTAAAAAGTGCTTCTCTTGTCCCAAGAGAATTCCGAAACCCAAACTGCGAATCTCCAATGTTATCCTCACATTTTTGGCTTATTCTGTTGTAAATAACCTTGGTGTATGCCTTCGAAATGTGATCATCTAAAACTATTGATCACCTAAAACAAAATGGAAATGTCGCAATGACAGAAGAGGCAAATGCTAGGGAAAACCCATAGTCAAGTTACCTAAATTCTATTCCATACAATAGTTTTACCATTGTTGCATTTTTTCTAAGATTCTTCAGAACAATCTTCCATTCGCCCCTGTCTCTGGCAATTCTTCTCCATGCGTTAACTTCGATGAGTTTTAGATCATCCTCTATATTATAGAGTTCGCCAGGAAGATTGTCCAAAACAGGGGCTTTGTTATTCTTCAGTTTTGAAATGACTTCTCTAATTTCTTCTTCAGTGGGGGCGACTCTTGAGAGTTTTCATCCATTTTTCTTATGGTTCTTTCTTTTTCCTTATAAACGTCCTTTTGTCTTCTCGTCTAAGATTTTCATAGTCTTCCAGGTTTGATCTCGTTGTACGCTGCTTCTAGTATGTATGCGCAATAAAAATTCTTGACTACGTCTTTTTTCAAATTTCAAAATAACCTTTAATCATCTTGACAAAAGATCGTCAGATAAACTCGATTTTCTCATGTGGTGTAAACAATATTCACAAATTGTATACAATAAAAATAATTCTGTTGCACAATAACCATTTTAATATGAATCAATAACAAAACAAACAATACTAAATGGGAATAATAATATATTTAAACAGTTTTTGTTTGATATTTGAATGTTTGTTTAGAACTTACTAATTATTCTAATAATTAGCTATAAAAGTGCTATTCGTTTGTAGATAATACCTTGAATACTGCTGTAAATATGTATAAAACATTGTGAAACCGATTTTGTAACAGCCGTTCTCTATTATGCCTCATTTTTAGCATTAAGTTCTTTCCCTCAAGTCTTTACATTCTCTATAGCGTCTCTTATTGTTGTATAGGTTGGCAATACAGAAGTACACGCCCACAGATCTGTTCTGGCCAGCATATCGCCATATCTTTTTGAACTGTTTACTACTGACCAAGATCAAAAGAGGACCGAAAATGTGATCACCTACAGATTGAATGGAGGTTTTGATACGACAGCTTTACAAATTTTGATCGATTACGCCTATACCGGCAAGCTTCGCGTCCACTACAATAACGTAAGTAAACAAATTATACAATATTTTTATATTCATGTTATGGGAGGGACATAAAAATAACATATAGTTTGTAAGAGTGAACTTTCCATTCTATATTTTCAAAAGTTTAGAACATTCCTTTTATTTCAGGTAAAAGCAGTGTTTTTGTCTGCAAACAACCTAAAAATGGAACGAGTAACCAGAATATGTGCTCAACATCTTATCAAACATCTCTCTGCTGAGAACTGCGTTGAAATTAGATCTCTGCCAGGTATTGCCAGAAATAAGGAATTCATCCAACAAGTGGATACCTTTATTGCCAAAGAGGTAAGTGCACATATTTCTGTCAAGTTCGTTTTTTCTTAAACCTTTGCTCAATGTTTCGTTTATGTGTGTATGGAATACACTCAACTATGTATCTATTTACGATATTCCTTTTTTGCAGTTTGCAGAAATCAGCAAATCTTCCACAGTGCTAAATCTCTATTGCGCTCGGATTGAAGTCCTAAATCAATCTCGCGAAGAAATGTCTCTGGTGAACGAAAACTCACTCTGTAGGCTAGTTCTTGAATGGATCAGGCGGCAGATCAGTGACGAGCACCTCCTAATATCTGATCTGTCTGAAAAAACATTTATGTTGTACCTCGCTCTAGATAATTCTCTACAAGACTGTTCTAGCCTCCCGTCGGGCGATATTAGCGACACTGAAATGGTTCAGGACTACAAGAAGCTCTCATTGAAGGACAAACAGGTAAGAGATTTTATTCTTTAATCTGTATAAATGAACAAATGTTTATTATAAACTTTGTTTCACGTTATCGATAATATTTAACCATCTTACAACGTTGCCTAATAGTCAAAATGTATTAGAAAGTGGGAAATTCGAAACTAACAGGTCTATACAAGTTTGGGTTAGGAAAAGCGTGGGTTGTAAGGGCCGCTGTGATTTGTGGCGTATTTGCATATACCTGCAACTGATACAGTCCTCACAAGAGTTTAATGAGGTCAAATGGCACAATATCGTTGGAGACATCACATTCAAAAGAAGTTGGTCGTCATCGACTTATAGCGCTCACTGTTGCAAATTGAGCTAAGTTTACAACTACTCCAGAGTCGCTATCTAAATTGGTTTTACCTTCAACTCCTAGGTTAGTTGAAATTTGTACGATTATAAGCCCAAGTCACGACACAAAATTTGCCAAGTTGTGGTCTGTGAAAAGTAGCGTTCTTGTGAGCGACGTGAAATGAGCTGCCTCCTGCAGCAGGATTCTCCTGCACACTCTCACTGACAGCGGCTATGTTTTTACGATAGTTCGATAAAAGATAAAATATTTTTTTCAGGGGGTGTCTAAACCAAAAAGAAAGGTTCTCGGACAGCCTTCTAAACCACGGGTGTTAATTTATAATAGAGATATTGGAGAAGAATTGGATAATGAACTGGAACCGGATTGGAATCTTATAGCGACAACTGCCGTGAGTGAACACAGCTTTTTGGGTTTGGTCACCTTAGCCGGAAAGTTGTCCACACTTTCCATACAGTTAAAGTAAGTAAAAGAAATTTGTAGGTAAGTAAATTCCTTAGTTTTTTAAGTTTATAGATAACTCATTTTGTGAATCACAAAGCAGATTAATTTACATTTGGATATCTTCCAGGTTAAACACACCTTCTACTCCTTCTCCGGTCCAGACACCAGATGCCAGTAGATCTGCTAGTGAAGACAAACCTGATCTCTATTGTGCGGTAGCTAACATGTTGTGTCATAGGTGTGCTCATGGATGTGGTAATTACAACAATACTCTTATAGTGTGTGGTAAGTGATTTTATTTACTCTTTCACAGATCTGGAAAGGTAAATTCCGAATGTCGATCCACTAATATTACTTCTGTTAATGTTTATAGGTGGTTATGATAGGACAGAATGCTTGAGATCTGCAGAACAATACATTCCAGAAACGAATACTTGGAAAAATCTTCCTCCGATGAGGGAAAGCCGGGGTCGTTTCAAAATTGCCGTCCTAGACGACAAAATTTATGCCATAGGTAAGTAACTTCATTTGTTTCTTAATGCAGTATTAGCGGAAATAATGGAATCCAAATCGGTAAGCCAATAATTGAAGTAAAAATCATTAGACATATTATATAAAAAAAAATCATTTTACTGGTTCAACTGTGATTGGTTGCACTACACCATCACCGATGCTGTGCTGACCATAAATAGAAAGAATAATAAGTGACAAAAAGAAAACAGATAATAAAAAAATTCACTGATCATTAAATTTTGGGATTTTTGAATTGTGCGGCAACGTTGAAATTGAAAACGGGTGAGCAGCAGTGCGGTTAACAACATTGTTTCGCTTGATTCAACTCTGGTTTTTCTGATGCTCAATTGATTTCGTTTTTGAGATAACTTATTATAGAAATTTTTGGTTTTTTTTACCAAAATCCATTTTAGACGATCTTTGGATATTTTGCAAGAGAAATTAACACCAAGACCAGCATATTTGTGTCAAGTTTTCTGATAAACTGGTTAAAATATTTAGCAAGACTTCTAAACTATTTTAAAATGATATGTTTTAGGTTTAAAGAAAGCCAAATGTTGTCAGCGAGCAAGTCACTTATTTTTTTTTTTGTTTTTCAAGCCAAAAAGCTCTTTACGTTTACGTTTTTCTGCTTTCTTTTTTTATATTAGTTCATTAACGTTTACTTCTCATTTATTATCACTCATATTTATTGTTTTCTTTAGCTTAATTGATCCTAATTACTAATATTGAGATATAAATATATCTTATTAAGCCTTTTCAAGGGTTTCATGCAAAGGTAACTAGCGTACTGTATGTTCGTCTTTGATATTTAATGGGAATTAACCAAAATGTTCTTTAAAATTAAAATTGTGGTTAATTGCCATTACATATAGTAGATAACATTGGATTATGGTAATAAGAATCTACGTTAGCTAGACATAAATTGCGTTTGGGCTATTCTGTCGTTAAATCTGACTTACAATGTGCCTTTAATACGTTTCATCGGTGCTCAACGCTTCGTTTTGTTGGAGCCCCACGTTGGGCGCCAATATCTTCGCTCCGGAACTTTTTGATTATCCCTCGTATTTTGAGATGAAAAGCTTTTATTTTAACTTTCCCGTTATTAATCTAATAATTTGTTTAACATAGGTGGTAGTAACGGAACTACGGAATTGGATTCTGTCGAAATGCTTGACTTTTCCGTGGGAAAATGGGTGAAACTTCCGAGGATGCCTCTCGCCCGAAGTAATATGGGTGTATGTACGTTGGACAAGAAGATATACTGTATCGGTGGTTGGAATGGACAAGTTGGTATCAAACAGTGCCACGTATACAATCCCGAATCGGCTGCTTGGACATCCATATCATCTTTGAATGCAGGTAAACAGAATTAAATGTTGTTAATGTAGAAAGTAAGATGAACCCGTTGAAGTGTTAACTAGTTTTCAGTTAGATGATTTTTATGACATATTTTGCATGATTTAAGAGATGTTTTAAGTCATGATATTTTTTTCCTAGAATGCTTACGGACTTTACTACATAATATACTTAAACTTGGGCACGTTTGTATCATCAGATGTGGAAATTATGCGTGTGTTATTTTTGGGGCAAGTGTAAATAAGTGCAAGAAAAAACGAATTTTTTAGTGTTTGAAAAATTTTAATTTATTTATTTTGAAGGAAGTTACAAACTTTTCAAGATTTAAAGGTTCAACCCGACAAAATTTACGTCAAAAATAAAATGATCCCTTTCGTCTTTAACGGATTCTGGTAAAGTTTTTACGATATCGTCAAATTTTTCATTCATTTTCAATCTTGTTATCAATTCTTCCAATAAAATATGTTTTTTAGATGTGAACTCTACAACAACCCAAATACCCAGCGCGATTTGGGTCTTTCCCAACTCTCCAACTGTTGGCACTTCTTTCTTAATTATTTGCTCGTTTTCTTCAAATATTTCAGGATCTAAATCATCTTCAGAGTCAACATATTCTACCAAATCTTCTTCCGATTCTGAGCTACTAAAAGTTACTTCTCGTTTCTTAATCCTCTTTTAATTTTGAATTTTTGCTTCTTTTTTCTTTCTGCGTTCTTCTTTTGTTTGTTTTTCTACAAATTAAGTATTTGCATAAATCGTTGCTTCAAGAACTTAAGTTTCTACTCACGAGATGCCGCTGGCATCTCTAAATTGTAGAAAATTTTATATAGTATAGTCACGCTTCCCCGGGATTACTTTATTCAATTTGACACATATTTAAATTTAAAAAATACAGAACTTTGCGCTAGTCTACAGCACCCCCTACTATACCATTTTTTTTTGCAGGCCGATATCAAGCTGGTGTCACAGCATACAATAACCTGGTATACGCCATAGGGGGCTCAGACGCATGGAACTGCCTCTCGTCCGTGGAATACTACAACCCGGTAGATAACACTTGGCATTTATCCAAGCCAATCATTACAGCCAGAAGAGGCTGTGGATTGACTGTATTCAACAACAAGATGTACGTCATCGGAGGTTCGGACGGCTCGCATTCCTTGAATACGACTGAAATTTTTGATGAAGAGACGCAGACTTGGACGTTTGGACCAGCCATGACAACTTCGAGGGCAAATATGGAGGTGGCAGTTGTTGGGGATAGGTTATACGCCGTTGGGGGATTTTCAGGTTAGTAAAATTACATTTTTATTTAAGTAATTTAACTAATTACTTGTTTCGTTTGGGATAAACTACATAAAACCTTCACAAAAAACTCCATGTGCTCTTCTTTTTTATTATCATATGTTGCATAATATATTGCCTGATATTGCATTATCAAAATTACTAGACTTCGGCAAATATGCAAATAAAAATGTAGAAAATATGCGCATAAATATGCACGTGTTTACCCGAAAATATGCAAATATTTTACAAAATATGCATACAAATAAATAAAAAAATCGTAAAATAGTAACAATTTTATTTTAAAAAAAAAAGTGTACATAACTAAATATTTCCTACTATTCATTAAGATTTACATTTATTTTAAGTAACTACATCATTTTTAAGTATGAATAAACTTATTTAGAATTATGGTAACAATAAATGACCAAGTGGTGTTCAAAATTTTCTAACAAAAACTTGTGGCTTCTGTCTGAGTACATATATTTATATATGGAAAAACTTCGTTCAACATCAACTGATGTAACGGGAGCATTTTTCAAACTAACCAAAACATTTGGTTCTAAATTAATTGTTTCCGAAATATTTCCAGCTAGAACACTGACTACTTCAGAAAGAATATGGTAACCTTTATTTTTTTCCATAGTAACTTCAAATTTTTTTAAAATATCTTTTCCAATATTACCTCTAACGTTCCGACAACATGACGCAAATTCTTTTATTAATGCTGTACTTTCGAACAATGACAGTTTTGGTGATTCTAACTGAGTAATTGTTTTTTGAACAAAACTAAAATTTGATTTTATAAATGAAAGTTCTTGTTGAAGCAAGTTACTCTGAAAAGTTTGTTTAGAATCCAAAAGAGATTGGGAACTTTCATCTGTTAACGTATCAATTATGTTCTTTATTTTAACAAAATGATCTGCATAAAAATTAGCTGCTTCTAACCATGTTCCCCATCGCGTTAAAATAGGTTGTGGTGGAAGAGGAATGTTAGGTAGCATTTCTTTATAAAGTTGAATTCTTATAGGAGATTTAAGAAATACTTTTTTGACACTGGATATCATGGTATTTACAAGAGGAAACTTTTTTCGTATTTCCTCTGCAACTCTGTTTAATCCATGCGCTACACAAGTAACATGTATTAAATCTGGGAAAAATATTTTTAAATTTTGTCCTGCTTTCACCATATAAGGAGCAGCATCCGATAAAATAAGCAGTAATTTATTAGAAGGAATAGTTGTCGGAAGAAAAAAAGTTGCTAATGTTTCTTGTATAAAACGCGAAATTGTTAAAGCATTTGTTTTCTCAAGTTGCTGGCATGAAATAAGATGAGATTTTGGTAAGGTATCTTCTTTAAGAACACCAATCAATAAATGAGCAATATACTTTCCTGAGGAATCAGTGGTTTCGTCTACAGATATGTAAAAATAATTATCTGCAATTTCTTCCTTAATATTAATTAACAACGACGAGTATAGCCCGTTCACATTATTTCTTCTTAGAGACCGATCACTTGGAACATTAAGTTTGCAATATTTTTTTAGAAACGAACTAAAATTTACATTTGCTAATTTTGAAAGCGGTATGTTTGCAGACACTAATGCGCGACACAAGTCTTCATTAAAAGTTTCTTGCTCATCTAATTTTTTTGAAATAGATTGGAAACATTTAGCCATTGAAGTTTGATGTTTTCCTCCTATTTTTCCTTTTTTTTGCAATGTGTGAAGCAGTTCTCACATGTTGGTCTATCTGAAATTTCTTCTCACATGCTATCTATAAATAAAAATAAAAACCTTTATTTTAACACAACCTTTAAAATATAAAAATATACAAGGTGTTTTTGGTTAATCAAATAACTGGTTTGGAAAAAAAAACACTCGCTAAGTGTTTTAAATTGCAGTATTAATACACAAATTAGTTTTTGTTACTAACCATTAGTATATCATATAACTTATTTTAAAATTCAACAAAAGTTTTTTTTTGTTAATTCAATTACAATAAAAATAATTGTGTTTTAGAATAGCTGACTTCATAAAAAAAAGTAAAGGTGAAAAATTTTTCTAAATACACACCATTGTATTGTACCATGGACAATTTTTTCTCACTAAAGGAAGCTATTTTTCATTTAAAAACAACCTACGAGTACTAAATTTCAAGTAAATACGTTTATTGGTTTTAAAGTTATTGTTGTTATTAACTAAAAGAATTTAATTTTTTTTAATTTTAACACCCTGTATCTCGAAAAGTAAATAAGTTTGACCTCTCTTTAACTATATCGTTTTGTTCAATTTTTCGAGAAGTATCTACAGTCAAACGTTGTAAGTGTCATTTGGAAACACCCTGTATGTATGAAATATTAGATATTTAATAGAAAATATTAGATACTTACAATTTTGCCACAGACTGAACAGTAGATTTTTCCCATATCCATAGACAGCTCTTTATAAGGTTTAATCCAAGTTGAAGCACTGGTTGTTTTAGGCATTATAAAATCACAATCTTCCTTTTTGTTACGCACAACGAGTGTTTACGCTTTGAATATCAAAACAAAAATGATTTACAAATCTGAGCATCAAATTAGAAATGTTTAGGTACCTAATTCAATAAACTGGGAGATTTTGGAAAATCCCTAAATTAGGAACAAAACTATTAGCCGTTTACCTGCTGTTAAGATACAGTAAATTGTAGATAGATTTGGGGATTAGATCATAAAATGCAAATGAGCGAACCCTTAGCGATTATCCAATAACTGAATGCCTCAGTGACCGAGACTTTCTAAGAATGTTGAGGGCTACTTAAATTGATCTTCTTTGAAATTGTAAATGTTTTGTACCTGTAGAGATTACGTACTTAGATCATTTCTTGATTAAAATGACTACAAAATTTTATACAAGAATTGAAATAAATTGGTATGTTTAAAAATTTTCAAATACAGTATAAAAATCTGAACTTTTATGCACTTTATGCAAACTTTTATACAAATATGCCAAAATATGAAATATTTGCATAAAATATGCACAATATGCAATATGCATATTCTGCAATCTTCAGCAATCCTTCATATGGGAACATTTTTAGGTGCTATATTACATATTGAGCTCTGGTGGGACTCTTTCCTTGTTGCTCATTATTTAACTCTTCATTTGTCAAAACTTCATTTTCACTCATTTCATCACTGTCTAGTGCATACTCTGGGTCCGCTGGGTCACTGTCATGAAACTCTGGAATAGACGATAATCCGCTTCGTATTTCTACAGTCTCTAACAAATGCAGTATTCTCTTCTCTTCTTTGTAATCCATTATTACAATTTACAATCTCGACTGTCTCGGAAAGCAACAATAGATAACTAAACTACCTGTTAGAGCTTGAAAATTGCTTTTTCTATATTTGCTACTGCTAATAGGATAGACATCTATTGTTAGCAACTCCTAATATTCTCAATTTTGCATATGGTCCCTCTGTGGGACCATAAGCAACAATATAGGTACTCAGGTTCAAAATGGTGTGAAATACTTCCAAAGATATTAATTAACCCTCAAAAGATTCTTACAAAAGCCTAAATTAAAATAATAAATAAATGGCAAGTTAACTGAGTACTACATGTGATACTCAATGGCAGTCAACCATGGCGCAAAATATAAAAACTTAATAAAATTTTGATAGTAAGATTGGAAATTTTAGAAAATATATTTTACAACCTTTTAATAATGTTTTTATGTCATTAGCTTCAGTTTCGAAAAGCTGAAAAAAAAAACTTAATCGTTTGTTACGAAATTCCACTCTATGATACCGCACGGCTATTTGTTAACTTAAATTTTTATTTGAATCCCAGATTTAGCCATACGGCTCACACTCCCTCTAAGGGGAAAATTCACTCATAGCAGATACCTACGGTATCAAAAGGATTGAGCTCTGGTGGGACTCTTCCGTGTTATCGAGCCCTAGGTGACTTGGTATGTTGGAGTATTTCCCAGAAATTTTCGTACACATCTGGACGTCGCGAGGAGTACAGCTTTCTGTATGGCCTTATAAAGATGTTCATTTAGACCCAGCTGTTTTATGTTCGCTAGGAGGTTTTTGGGAATAACACCAGTAGTAGATAGAACAATAGGTACTGTCTGGGTACTTTCCATTCTCCATTGTCTCTTGCTTTGTATTTCCAGATCTCTATACTTGGCGATCTTTTCGTTGTATTTAACACGCAAATTGTTAGTGTTAGGTATCGCCACATCAATAAGTGTTGTTTGCCTGGTAATTTTATTCACTAGAATGAGATCCGGTCTATTATGGGCCACTGGTTGGTCTGTAAGCACAGTGTGGTGTGTTATTTGAATTATATTTATTATATTATTAGGTATTATAATGTTTACTAGTAATGTATACTTTCCTTTGTATACAGGTAAGACATTCCTGAACACGATAGAGTACTTGGACCTAAATTCGAACGAGTGGACCACATTTGTACCAAAGGGCACCTGTGAAATCCTGAACAGGAGGAAACCGAGGAGCCGCAAGAACTCCAGAAAGAGCGTTTCGGAGGACAAGAAATCGCTCAACTCCCCCAGTACACCATCAGACATAATAGAAAACCCCATGGTCTCCCAAGCGCTCCAGCTATCAATGGAAGAAGCTGTTATTGACAATTCGTAAAAAATTAGATAATATATATCTTATATATCTTTAATCATCAGTATACATCTGATAGGTATATATTTAATCCAGAATAAGTATTATATTCATGTTGTACTGAAGAATAACTCAGCTTCATCTTCATTGATTATATTTTTTTAAGAAAAATTTCTAAAATATCAAATTGCTTTCTTTTAGGAAGTATGTAGAATTTTACTTTAATAAATTGATTATTAAGGCGTTCTCCAAGTTAATAAGTTCCTTTATATGCGGAGTTTTATTTTTACAATAGTCTAATGTATTTTCAATGTGACCTAAATATATATATTATAGATTAGGAAAATCATAAATCTTTTCTATTCTTATTCTTGTCGTAATCTGTCTTTTTTTTTGGGGCGGGTTTTATCAAGTTTTGAAAATATGCTTCATGTGAGAAGTTAAACATTAAACCCTTTAACCCTTAGTCTCCCGACGGTACTTTTAAGTACCATCAAATTCTGGTACCCTTATATGCCAGGTGTAACATTTAATAATACTTACCACATCAAATTTCACTCACAACCGCAGTTTTCAGCTGATCTTTAAAACTTAACAACCCTTTTAGCTTATTGTAATAATTTATGACAAATAAGGCGGACTTAAAAGTACCGTTAAGGAGTAACTGTCAAAAGAAATGTAAACGTTGTGGGAGACTAAGCGTTAATATAAGTCACTTTGAACTCTCAGTATATCAGCTCTAAGTCTGGTCTATTCGTTTGCCGAATACTGTGCTTGAAAAACTCGATCAAACCATGAAGATTTTCAGTGTATTTATAAAATGTCAATCTACTCCATGCCTACCTCATAGTCACAAACATGCAGATTGGCGATGATAGTCGAAAAGAAGAAGACAACTGAAGTGACAGACGACATTTTGACAGATAACACAGAAGGACAATTACAGACTACGATTTGACAGAAAAGAAAGAACTGTGACAGTCGAAAAGAATCAGACGACTAAGTGACAGATGACATTTTGACAGATAAGTTAGAGCGTAGGTGGAGGGAGAGACCCAAGTAACCGATACTCTGCTTATGCGTCTTCTGAGAGTGACAGTAGAGGTAAGTATTTCGTTAGAAAGGTCTACATTAGTTTTATTATTCAATTAATGTTGTTTCCAAAAAAAAAAAAAAGAAGCTAGTTTTGATGCCCAACTTCTGTTTAAATATATGAATGGATTAATGTCTTATGATCCAAGTACTTAAAATTTTACTAAAAATAGTTCACAATAGTGACAAGTGACATATGATAATGTAATATTGTTCTTTGCAGAACAATAACTTGGATTATAAATACTTCAGATTAATAAGAATCGTGTATTAAGCAAAGGGCCAAGATTAGTATCGACGGTCAAAGATCCCGAAATATTAGCATTGGTAAAGGAGTAAAGCAGAGTTGTGTATTGTTCCTTACGCTTTTTAAAGTTTGCTCGGAACTGCTATTCGAGAAAGCCTTGGAAAACCTCTACATGAAATAATGGTAATCCAAAAGCGACAGGCATTTACCTATAATGATAAATAAGCGATATTAGAACAAAAAACCATTACAAATATCTTCTTTCTCTTTATAAACAATTTTGCTTGTTCATTGGCGGATTAATAGCTTTATGAAAGGTTGTCACTCCATCTTTTGCGCGGTTGTCCGAATATTCTTCTGCCGATACTTATCTCTTGCTATTTTGAAGACACGGCTCTCCTCCATTCTGCATATTTTATTATTATTTTTATTATTATTTAATTGAACTAAAAAAAAATTTAATCTACTGGTTTGATTTGAAAAAATTTTGCACAAATACAGAAAAATATATTTAAATTGGCCGCCATTTCTCTGAATACAGTACCGAACTCAGTTACGCCATGGATGACATCCTTACGAAAATGTTCCGCTCTTGTACAGACTATGCCATCTAAAGTTAACCACAATTGGTAGTCGAGTGGATTAAAGTCTGGGTTGACTGACGGCCAAATGGTCAATACGTTAACACAGAATAAATAACAATCAGAATGCCCACTCTCAGATGCAAGTTTGTCAGCACGCTAATTCCATGTTTTAAGCTCGATTCAAACACATCAGTCCCGGCGCCGAACCGGTCCTGTTTGGTCACAGAACTATTAATTATCTGACAGCTGGGAAACTGTTCGTCAACTGATGAATGTAAATGCCGGCGGCATATTTCTATTAAAGAATATTTTGTATGACGGATTGTTCGGTTCGGCGCCGGGACTGTGACGAGATGTGACTGATGTGTTTGAATCGACCTTTTAAACGGAAACATAGACTCGAATTGAGAAATTTGTGACAAGCTATGACAGAACTGTAATTAAAATTTTTAGAGATTAATAATTTAGTACATTTTAAATAATTTAATGTATTCTTCAACTAAAAGTACGAATAAAATAGTGCATATATGTCTATACTTGCCGTAAATAAATTAAACGGGGTTAATTTTTCTATGCACAGCAGATAAAATGTCACTGAACAGCACTGGCTCCATTTAAAACATGGCTGATTCCGTCTACGCTAACAAGATGCGCGTACTTATTTTTTCAAGCAGAGCGAGCATTCTGATTGTTTATTATTCTGTGACGTTAATAAATACGATTTTGTCTGTCCACTTCATGGTAACGACTGGAATGTTTTCGCGCGTTTATGTTGTACATGTCAGCTGTCAGTAATGTCAACATAACTTTTAGTTGCATTGTCAGCCGTACAAGCCGTGTTTACACTTGTATCAATATTATGGCAGAAAATGTTATATTTTCTGAGGTGTCAGCATAGAAATTTTAATATAGAGGACTATAAGGCCGACCTTTCGTCCTAAATTGTACAAAGCTGAAGCATCTTAAAAGTTTAGTTATAAACAACCTTCATGGATATTTCGACAACAATTGTTGAAAGATCCGGTTCATTACCACCTTGGTAATCCATTTTTGATACACATCCCATCCTGATTAAGTGATAAAAGATGCCCCTTATTACTTGTTTTATTCTGTTCGATAAAATATTGTCTACTACTTCCTAATAGACAAAACTTACAGAAACGCAGATGGAAATTGTATTTACATATCTCTTATATATTGACTTTTCAGGAACCATCAATAAGGTATTTTAGAAATAGTTTGGATGTATTCCATTTTCACAGTCCGCCATTTTTGTTTTACCTAATAGAATTTATTCTAAGGATATAAATTATAATCTGATGAAACTGCTTAGATGTTTCGACTTATAAAAAATATAGCGCTATTTTTAAAGTCAAAACTTATAATCTTCAGTTAGTGCCATATTTATTAGTAAGTATATCAACCGGTAAGTTGTTAACAGCTGAAAGTTTTCTTTTGCGGATTGTACACAGAAGTTACTGTTTACCACTAATTTCGAATAAATAAGTATTTGTCAATTATTTTTTGTCTTAATCTTCTTTTCTGTCAATTTTTTTAATTTAAGGACGTCTCACGTTAATATTCAGTATGGGTTCAATGAGAAAATAGAACAGTGTTATCAATAGTGGCTTTATGTAACTATTATAACCACTTCTGTCTATGTTTATGTTCTGTCAATGCAGTTATAGGTTATGTTCTTTGTTATTGTCATAAACCAAGGTTAGTAGATATTTAAGTAGGTTGTTTCGAAACTATGTGGGCGGAGCGAGGGGAAGGCAGAATGCTTACGTCACTCGTACGACAAAGTCAAATTTGACAAATGATGGACAGTTGTCTGCACGTCTGAGTTTAAGTTCACGTTTGTTGTTGTCTTATTAAAAATAGTTTCTATTATTTAAAAATTCACTGTCATGAAATAATAAACTATAAATAAATATATAAGTATATATATGGCCTGAAGATTTGTGCTTGAAGGACTAATTATTTTTTGTATTTTAACCTAATAATAAATTATTTATATTATCTATTTGTTTTTTTTGCCTACCACTAGATATGATAAGAATGCTGTAAATTCCAGAAAAAACATAATAAGTAAGTTCGTACATATTTAGTATTTTTGCTTTTGAAATTTTTCTACTGTTTTTTTTTTTGTTTTTGTGCGAAATAAACTGTTATCTCCATTTAAAACTCACAATATTATCAATATAATCAATTCTATTTTTTGTCATCAGACTATTGATTAAAACTTTCTCGTCTAAGACACATTCTGAAAAATATTATATAGCTACTGTTGATAAGTGTCGGAAAATTTAAATTTGGCGCATTCGCATTTCCGGATATGTCCGCCATCAGAGGCCACTTTTTTGGTCTCCTTTTCATAAGGATTAGATTCCCTCTTTTGTCTTATTGCTCGATGCGTATGGGTAACGTATTCCCGCCTTTAAAAAGCGAGCATTTGATTGGTCTATAGTTACGAGACAACCTACTTAATATCTACTAACCTTGGTCATAGACGTTATTGTTGATTCAAATAAAAACACTACTTTCACATTTTAGTTTTATTCAGGTTCATTCAGCGAAACAAAAAATATCTTCATTGTTAGAATATACAGGGTGTTTCAAAAAAAGGTAACCCCGTCTCTAGGGTAGGTAAAAAACTGAAAATTAATTGGGGTTTGCTTAGAAAAAATTTTGATGCAAGAACTAGGATTGCGTTGTTTTTTCCTTGAATCGCTGGTTGATACTTGGGTGCAGGTTGTTTCCATTTTTTAATAAAAAAAGCAAATCTGATTCCTATAAAACTAACAGCGTTGCTAAGCGACGGCTGATGGAAATGTCCTGTTTTGAATCTCATCATTCTTTCACACCAAATTACTACTAGGAACTGTCCACTTTTGCTCGTTATCAAATTGTTAATATGGATCTTCAATCACTGATTACAGGGGTGTATTTTAACTAATTTTGATCAAACAGTTGAAATGTCCGGTTTTGAGAAACAAATTTTTTTTGTGCATTTTAGGAAAAGGAAAAAATTGACTTAAAGCTATTTTTGCAATAATTAAGCAACAAAATAAATGTACATACTCTCATTTTAAAGGATTTTTTATGCTTTTTTAGTAAAATTGTGTTACTTTTCCATATAATTTACCGGTCTTAATCTTTAGTATTTAAAATGAAATAGCTATATTACATTGTTTGTAACTAAAAATGACCTTTAATATTTTTAGCATATTTTGTTTATTAGAAAAGTAATTTCATTTGCCAAACATTTTGTGCAGTACGGCGAAAATATCTGAGCAGTTTTTATAGGTTAAGAGTAAGTAGTTTGTAGTTTTTTATTTGCTCATTTATTGACTATGACACCACCATCATGATAAAATAGTTATGGAAAACTGAAGAATTAGATAAAAAGATATATCTATATATTTTAAATACTCTTTTTTACTTGCAATAACACACATTTATATCAATATGGATTTATAGTATTAT